GACCCATAAAGACTAATATCCAAAAATTATATGATGGCACTCTTCGGACTCAACTTAACTCACGTAGCATGGTCATTGTTTTAAAAATCGAACTGGATCGATCGGTTGAATCGATCAGATCAATACCCAATACTATAAAATATAAATGGATCAGGTCAACATTTAGAACCAATAAAGTGGTTGAACCACTCAAAAATGTTGACTTAATGCACTCCAAGAGGGGGGGTGAATTGGAGTTGAAGAATTTTCACCTCTTTGCAACCACCAAACAAAATTAAAGAGAGAGTTGAGAAGAAGAGCTTGCACAATGATTTTATAGAGGTTCGGTCCAACCACTTGGAGCCTAGTCCTCTACCTTGGCTTCACTCACCAAAGATTTCCTCCACACTCTCCACTAACAAAAACAACGGTGGCTTAAAGGAGCCATTCAATCCTTTATAAGAAGAAAGGTTTCTCTCAAATCTCACCCCTTTACACTTAAACCTCAAAGATCCTCTCTACAGATCACTCTTGTAGGAATCAACACATCCCCAAGATCACTCACTAATAGCACAAGAAGAGGATTGCAAACAAAGTTCTCTCAAAGATCAAAATCTCAAGTTAAAGCACAAGTTGGTTGGTAAAGATATTCAATACAATACTCTCTAAACTTCTTCAGATCTGTTACCAACCATATTTATAGCCCCTTGCTCGAAAATAGCCGTTTCTAGCCGTCGGGGGTCATTAAATGCCCTGCAGGACACAAAGCTTGAGCTGCAGGATTGTCAGGAGAGCCGGCTTAACTTCCTAGAGCTTAACTTCCAGATTTGCAGGCCATTCTGTTTTCCTCGAGAGCTGATTGCAAAACTTTGAGCTGGCTTTGCAACTCCGACTTTAAATACATTAAATAATCTTCAAATGACTCGATTGTTGTCCATTAAATGCACCCTCACAGTCGGCTGCAAAGTTGGAGCTGACTTTGCGTCCTTTCTCCGCGCACGCCAATCAACGGTCTTCAAAGTTTTGCCTGTAGAGCCGGCTGCAGCTTTCAAGAGCCAGCTCTCTGCAGATATTCAAGCCTTTCTGGTCCATTTTTAAGTGCAGTCCAAGTTTACTTATTTTGCAATCTTTTGACATTTTAACTACACACTTAAATGAACCAATTAGTCACTCAAATGTGTTTTGTAATCATCAAAATCATAGGTACAACAAAAAATGGTAGAACCATTCGGACCAATACAAACCAATAAACTGTTCAACCAGACAGTTTAAATCTTTTGGATAATTTTTCTTAAATTTGCTACCTCACGTTTTGTACACAAGACTTGAAAGAGATTTTCAGTGACTTTTGCCACTAGAACGTTATCTCTTTGATTGAAATGATTTCCTAACAATTTTATTTATTTTAACTTTGTTGTATCATTAACTTTGTTGTATCGTTAACTTTATTTATTTAAGAATTCGTGATACCATCTCGTAGAATCAAACTTTGTTGTATCATTAACTTTCATGTTAAAATTAATATAGTGTTAATTTAATTTTTATCTTAAATATATAAATTAAAAATATA